CTCCTCCATCTCCAGAGCTCCTGCAGACTGAGCCACTTACCCTTCATAGCCTTTTGCTTGACATTATATCCTTGCTTGGCCTCCTCTTTCCAGCCCCCTTCCCCTACTCCTGGGAAGATTTGGGAACAAATCACCACTTTCACACAAATCCTTGTTTGCTGGGTCTGCTTTTGGGGAAAACATCTTAAGACACTGGGAAATGCTAAACATTAGGAGGTGTCCCCTAAGCTGTGTGACCCTGTCTTCCCGCAGAGCTGCCCTCGGGCCAAGGCAAGTCCTCCCAAGTTTCTAAGGAATTAGTCACAACAAGATAGCCTTCTAACTCAGGAAATCTGTGCTCCTTGTATTTGAACACGGCAAAGGCCAGCACCATGGGAACCCTGGATGGCTCCTGGCATGTAGTTCTCGGCTCTCAACTCAGGAAACTGTCTGAGCTGCTGCCTTCGGGACTGTGTCCTCCCTCCAAGAACCTGCACGGGGAGGCCAAAATAAGGGCATAAAATTCATATTTCATTATTGTTATCCTTCTCTATTCCTGGAAACCCCAGTGGTCATTCTGAAACTGATTCTTTAGCGTCTCTCTTCCCATGAAATGGTGGACTGGTGAGGCAGACACACAGGCAGCCAACAGGGAACATCCAAGATGCAGGTCTGGATTATTTGTCTAGACTTTATGATGTTTGTGGTATTTGCCAGCTTTTTAAGTTTTAGGATTTGTTGTGATTTTTTTCTTATTTCAAATAAAATTTTCCTTCATACCTAATTTTGTATTCTTTTTTTTTTTTTTTAAGGGATCCCAAAATTATGTAAGCTTTAGGCAACAGAAGACCTCAGTAGGCTTTGAGCACCTGAGGACTGAGAGACTTTTTCACAGACTAGCTTCTGGCTCCATACTTTTTTTTTTTTTTTTGAGACAGGGCCTCACTCTGTCACCCAGGCTGGAGTGTAGTGGCACAAGCATGGCTCACAGCAGCCTTGACCTCCCAAGCTCAGGTGATCCTCCCACCTCAGCCTCATAAGTAGCTGGGATTACAGGTGCCTGCCACCACACCTGTCTAATTTTTGTATTTTTAGTAAAGACAGGGTTTCACAATGTTGCCCAGTCTGGTCTCGAACTCCTGGGCTCCAGAGATCTGCCCACCTCAGCCTCCCAAAGTGCTGGGATTGCAGGCGTGAGCCACCACGCCCCACCTGGCTCTATATATTTCAACTCTTGTTTTTCCTCTCCTGTCTTCATACTTCTGGTCCCGATGTGACAGCTGCTGATCCTGTACCTGCCACCGTGTCAGGTGAATCAGCACAGTGTGTGGTGGAATTATTTCTGCACGCCATTTATAATCAGGACAGCCAGCAATAAATTTATTACATGACATAGACATATTACAGACAACCCAACGGAGTGTTTTCCCAACATAACCAAATGAATATATTACAGAAGGCCCAACTGAATATATTCCCAACTCAAATTCCTTCAGTCATACTCCCAAATGCCACAGCCACCTCACCACAGCCTGACACGAAGGGAGGTGTGACAGAGAAGAAATCAGGGTGGAGACCGACTACAGTTAAATTTTTTTGGGAGGAGACAGGGTCTTGCTATGTTGCCCTGGCTGGAGTATGGTAGCTATTCACAGGTGTGATCATAGTGCACTACTGCCTCAAACTCCTGGGCTCAATTGATCCACCTGCCTCAGCCTCCCAAGTGCTGAGACTATAGGTGCATACCATCACACCTACCTATAGTTATTATTATTTTACCTTAGCAAATACTATGACTTTGAAAAAGAAATATGATCTTTGAAGGAACTCATGTAGGTGAAGGACCCCCAGTGTAAGCCTCATTAGCTTCTCAGGAAACTGGCCTTTTGTAGCTGGACTTGCTGTGAGACTTGGCACACAATATTTTAAGGTCTGTAAGTTTTAGCCAAACCCTGGGTGTGTGTGTAAGGGAGGAGGGTGGCTCAGAATTGTTCTGGGCTCTTCATTTCCTTGGTGCCCCTCAACCCTGAATCCATGTCAGGAAGACCCTGGCAAGACTGAGGAGGGAGAGCAAATGGTAACTGTGACCATAACTGACAGTGAGTTTGGCCCCTGAGGTTGGACTTAATAGCAGGAGACATCAGTATTTCGAAAGCCCAATCGCTCCTCTTCTTTTGCATTTTCCTTTAGTTTAGCCCTTTTTTTAAACCAAAGTTTCTTCTGAAAAAATTCTTGGTTTGTCTTTGCTGAATGGAAGAGCAAAGGAATTTAGCTATACCCAGGTCAGGCCAAGGTCAGTACCAGTGGACGTGGGAGAGGCAATGTCAGAATTGAGAGGATGTTTTGTGATTTACAAAACAGTATTCACATCCATTGTCTCATTTGAGCTTTACATGCCCTCTGTGGGGTACGCTTTTGTACGTTGTTAGAATCACTATTTCCCAGTTAAAGTTAAGAGCAACTAAGCAGTTTATGCAGAGTATACACCTAGCCAGTGGCAAGTCAGAAATTTGGACCCAGATCTTCCAAATTCAAATCCACCACATAACCAAAGACAACTGTGGATAGTGGTTTACTATTGCTAACTACGAATCTTTTTTTACACTTAATGTGTGTCAGACACAGTACTGGCACTTTTCATGAGTTCTCTTATTTAATCCTCACATCCTCTGGCATGAGCCAGGTTTGAAGGATGGGGAGGTAGCAGGGAGGAAGGACGGGATGGACCTCATTCCTTGCAGAGTGCACAGAACAAGTAAAGGAACAAAGGCAAGCACGAGCTGAGATGGTTCAGACCACGTTCACCAAGAGCTGGTGGTGCTTCACAGCTGCTGTCCTTGGGCCTCTGGCCCAGTCAGGTAAGCCTCCTAGAACCTTTCATCTTAGTAAAAATGGGCTGTGCCCACAGAAAGTGGCCTCTGGCTCAGCCCTGGAAGCAACAGCTGGAAGAGGCCTGTGGCCTGTCACTATCCACATGGTTGCTTCTCTGCAAGACAGAGGCCCGCCATGGTGAGCTGGTCTGTCCAACCAGCTCCCGGGTTACCAGTCAAATGATGGGCTCTGTCTCAGCACTCAGCTTTGAAGTTTGATGGGACTCCTGGTAGCCCACAGGTCTTGGCCAGATCTTACCCTTTAGTAAGTGTCTTCTTTCACTTCCCATCAGGGGCCTGGAGCCTGGCCAACTCCCTGAGGCATCTCCCCCAGCTTATTTGGATTGAGGGATGGAGAGTGCCTGGAGAGGGAGGTGGAAAATGACCCCGTATCCTGATTGGGCAACAGAAACCTCAGGAGGCACCAGGCGGTAGGACTGGAAAAAAAGTCCCAGAAGTCACAGACCCACACAATGTCTCCCTGGGTTGGAGGATGAACAGAACACTAGCAACTCTCTTACCAGTGTTCTCTGGACTTGTCTGTCCAGACCCTAACACCACTTCCTTTGAGCTTGTGTGAGAAAACGTGTCAGAGCCAATTTGACACCTATATTCATCCACTGGACATGTAATCCTGGGCGACTTACTTCTCCGTGCTTTGGTTTCCTTATCTGTAAAATGGGAATAGTGATTGTCTTTAGCTTATAGAATGATGTGAATATTAAATGAATTAACACAGACCAAGTGCTTAGAACAGGGCCTGGCACAGAGTAAGCATGCATTAGATGTTGGCTGCTATTATTATTATTATTATCATTACAAGAGTTCTGAGATTACTCCCTTAGGCCCCAGTATTTTCCTCTGGGATGTTTTCTGTCACTTAAAATGGATTGAGATTTTAGGGCAAACACTGGAGAGGCTTCTCAATTCCACCTAGTGGGCCTGCTGAGGGTGCCATGGCTAACTGTGGGAACCGCCTTGCTGCTCCTCTCCTGGCCGCCTCCAGTTCCAGGCTGCTTTTGCTGCTCTGACTCACTGGTCTGTTCAGAGGATCCACAGCTGCTAGCTGGAGAAGCGGTGTTAATACCTCATTAGCACCTCCGGCTGCTCCTTGTGGGCACTGATCACTTCGGCTTGCTCCCTCTGGAGTGACTCTGTGCTGCCTTTGAAAAGCAGGCCATGTGATGGCCCAGAGGCTTCTCCTCCAGCTGGTCCCAATTCCCTCCCTCAGATTGTTACTTTTACCCAGGAAGTGAAACAACTTACTGTTTACATTTTGTACACACACACACACACACACACAACTTACTGTTTACATTTTGTACATACACACACACACACACACAAAAATATAAAATTTTTTAATAGGTCAAATCCTTACTCCTTCATCAGGACCTGAAACCAAACCTGTAAGCAGCTTCTTTCAGAGCCTTCCTCTTCTTCCCCAGGCCACACCTGCAGACCTGCCCCTCACCCATGCCACCTGTGGTTTGTACAGGAATCAGACAAGAAGGCAAGGGCCCGAATTGGAAGCAGATGTTTGGGACAATGAGTAAGGTTGGGGTGGAGACAATAGGAAGGATGTAGACCCTGTTAGAGCTGCTTGTTGCTCTGACCTACTGCCAAGGCTCAGAAAAATAGAGTGACTGTTCCTGGTTAAATACCCAGCTGTTACTCATGCCAAACTTCCCTGGGCCTCAATCCTCAGAGTCTCTGGCTCTGCTTCCAAAGTTCTCCATATCCTCGTGCCAACCACTATCTTGGCCCCTTCTTCCCACCATGCCAAGCCCCCAAGACCAGGCATACCCCCAAAAGTCAGGACTGGAGTTTTAGTTACCCCGCCCCGCAAAGCTAACCCACAATGCCATTTTTTTGAAGCCTAAACTCAAGATATGGTCTGACAAAAGAGGTTTTGCTGATTCTGGGTGTGAGAGTCTACTGGAAGACATGGCTTGGATGCCAAGACGACAGAGTTTTCAAGGGTTAGAGGGATAATGGGTCAGAATTGTTAAATCAGAGCACTGTGGAGTATGCAGATGGGTGGCTGTCGACTGCACCCACTTTGGAACATCTCCAGAGCTGCACACAAGCCTGCCAGGACCCAACAGCATGTTTGTCTACCCTGACTGTGACATAAAATGCTAGACCTATAGAACACCCAAGTTTAATTCCATTGATTAATTAATTCCATTGTGATTTTTCAAGGAGACACAAGTTGGCATCATCATGAACAAGGTTTCAGAGAAATCCCATAGGAAAGAGAGCCTAAAGAACTGGTTTTCTAAAGGCAATGGCCTGACCCAACCCCTATCCAGCTGTGATCCCAGTCAGAAGCTTAGGCGATCAACTTTAAGATCTGCCCAATCCCCAGGGAGGAATAGATGTCAGCTGCTGTATATGACAGAGAGATAACCAGGGACTGTAGTTTCCTGGTTTAATATTAAGGGAAATTCCACTGAAGCTCAGTGTCTCCACCCATAGTGGTCACAACCAACCAACTTCATGGCTGTTCATAAAATTGATTTGCCTTTTCACACCTCTGAGTTTACTGGAAATGGTATTCCCTTGACTTTCCTCTGCCATACTGATTATAACCATAGCACAAACCCTTTGATTGCCATTAGTGTTGGAGATACCTCCCACTCCCCATCCACTCAAGATTCTAATTTCATTCACTGAGCTGTAGGCTACTGGCCAGTCGCCCATTGCCAAAGTCAACACTTCAGGTCTGCTTTGTCTGGGAGAGCAGATTAAAGGAAGAGTGGGCCCTTAGATCACCAAGTCCCCTTTCTCAGCCTGTCCCAGGACCTGCCCAGGTGACGGCCTATTTATGGCACAATAATGGGCTTGCTCCTTGGGTCTCTTGGTTTGGAATCTATCTTTACAAGGGTTCTTTCTTCTCTGAAAATCAACAGGGAGAGTAACTTCCCTCTCTTTCTGTGGGAAACTAGACTAATTTCACTTGTAGCAACAGCAACTCCGTATTAGAGAAAGTCTCCAAATATATAAAAAGAAATGCTCCCCACCAAGCAAACAGGAGAAACTATTGGGTGGGGGTGGGGGCAGTGGTGATGGGTTTGGGTGCCCAAGCTTCATGAGAAGGAAACTCTAAGGAAAATAGATTGTTTATGTCTGTCTCCCAAGATTGTAAGCTGCTCAGAGGCCAGGATCACATTCTATCTTGTGTGTCCCTAGCTCCCCGCACAGTGCCTGATGCATAGGAGATGTCTGCTGAAATGCAGAGCTGCACAGAACTCAAGAAAAAAAAAGGGAGGCTACAAACTCAGGGATGGAACAGAAATACCCGACTGGGGAGAGGAGAAGGTTAGGAAACGAAATGACAACTTAGAGCAGGATTGGACGTAGGAGACCAAGCACAAAACGATGACACACACATAATCTTCCTCTTGCACAATAACACAACATTTTGTTTTCAACATAACATAAAAGCCATCAAAGGCTCTCTAGCTGGCTTGCAAATACTCTGATATCCCTGACTCTGCTAATGGGCAAACAGAGGAATGTCTTGGCAACTCCTTCAAGTGGGAGTTCTGAGGAGAGAGGGAACATTGTTGGTCTGTAGAAGACGGGAAGATTCAGAAAAATTCCTTTATGTGCAAATCCATAATGCAGGTGAAGTGGGGGTCTGCAGAAAGAGCGACTTCACTCAAGAGAGGTACAGAAACCCCTCACCCTGGAGAAGATACTATGCTTCTAGTTTCAAGAGAATAATTTCACAGTATCTTCAGTCTTGTTTAGGGTGTGTGTAATCTCCCTTTAACTCTGGCATTCTTGAAAATGTTTGCTTCCTCAGTGAGATACCCACCAAGAATTTGGCCTTTGCCAAATGGTGCTATTTCATATAAGCAAAGTTTAGAGACAAAAGATTTATTCAAATAAGTCTTTTTCTGCAGACTTAATTACCAGAGATAAACATCAGGGTATTGTGTAACATATCTGACCTCATTCTTTCATTTGATACCTATTGATTTTCCACCAAAGCAGGGATATTAAAATTTCAGGGCCTTTTTCCTCAGTTACGTCCTCAAGGGTGTCTTGTATTCTTTATATAGAATTCACTTAAACTTGGAAGTCACTTCGCTCATTAGTTGGTAGTCTAAGGAACTTTCTACATGCAAAAGATTCTAAAGCCATTATTAATAGCTGTATCTCTTAAAATCTCTCTATCCTGCATGAGTAGGACCTTTTCCCATGAATCCCAAATCCCCAAGTGACTGATAGGTAAGCCAAGGTATAAAGTGTTAATCTGTCACACACAGCATCACCAAGTGAACGAGGCAGAGTCAGCGAGCACAGTGGCCCAGTGCCTGGGCTGTTTCTTAGTCTAAACTAATCTGCTAGAGACAAACCAGAAGTGTGGAGTTTGGGCTTTGACACAAAACAGACCCATGTTCAAATACAGCTCTATCACTTGCCAGCTAAGAAACCTTGGCAATTACTTATCCTCTGTGTGCCTCAACTGTGTCTTGTGTAAAATAGAGAAAACAAGACATACCTTGCAGGGTTGTTGTGAATGAGACAAAAAATACTAGAGCTCCTAGCATATGGGAAGAGCTAAAAAAAAATGGTAGCTATTATCATGATTGAGTAATCAGGTGAATTAAAGGAAGTCAAGGTTCCTACCACATGACATAGGCTTGAGATACAGCTCCCTCAAATACCTCTTCCGTCCTTACAGGATCATGCAAAGGAGGAAGAAGCCTCTTCTGACTTGGGGTCTTCTTCATGAATGTTTGGGCTAGGTGTCTTCAGTACTCATTCTCTCTGGCCCGCCTGGACATGGCAAGGTGAAAAACAGAGTCACTGCCCCCTGGGAATTTCCACACCAGTCATCTACTGTAGCACTCTCAACTGCCCCCAGACCTATATAGCCTCCTGCTACAGAAATTACCAGGGCCCTAAGTCATAGTCAGTATGGTAACACATATGCTATACATAGGAAAAATTTTTTTCCCCAAGAACTCCATGTTATTAGTCAATTTTCTTAATTGGTTAATAGCATCATTTTGCAGGTCAGGCAACTGATACTGAAAGGAGGTTGTCTTGCCCAAAGTTGAACCACGGGAGTTAAAAATATGAACATCTGGCTGAGCCCAGCGGCTCATGCTTATAATCCCAGCACTTTGGGAGGCTGACGTAGGCGGAATACCTGAGGTCAGGAGTTCAAGACCAGCCTAGTCAACATGGTGAGACCCCGTCTCTACTAAAAATACAAAAATTAGCCAGACATGGTGGCACACACCTGTTACTCGGGACGCTGAGGCAGGAGAATAGCATGAACCTGGGAGGTGAAGGTTGCAGTGAGCTGAGATCACGCCACTGCACTCCAGCCTAGGTGACAAAGTGAGACTCTGTCTCAAAAAAAAAAAAAAAAAAAAAAATCAAGCCCATCAGTTCATGGTTTTCTATCCTTTGAGGGTCCCATGTTGCACACATGATGCAAATGTGTCCAGGGTATCCTCTTTGAGAAAACACTCAGTGAAATGAGATGCCTATCCTGCAAGGAGTGCTGGAGGCCCAGGGCCCCTAGAGTCAGAAACACAGGCTACAAGTAAATTCCTGTCAACAGGATGGTCACCTGGTAGAGGACATAATGAGGTTTACAAAGAAGCCTCCTCTCCTACCTCCTTATGTAGTCCAAGGCTGACTTCTTCCTAGAGTCATACCTAAGAGATAACTCCTAAAACCTCACTTGGAAATTTGCCTTGTTTGCCAGATGAACCTGGTCTCAGGCATTCACAGCCATCACAGACTACAAAAGCCATGGTGGCCTGCTTATTATTGGGTATTCCAGGGAAATAGCAACACAGGCCTCATCTGGATAAACTATTCATCATCTCCCTGAAGGAAGGCTACAAGGGGAACTAGATGGGGAGTCCCACTCTGTTCTTGCAAGGTGACTGGATGCTATGATTCTGTGCTGGTGTGTCTGATCCCTGTCCCTAGAGGTACCAACATTGTCACTATCCCATGTTTAAGAAGCTGCTACTGCTGGCTAGTATTGACAAGCCAGGACTATATCGATAGCCTGAACAACTTTGCTAAAGCCACCTCCGATACCATATTGAAAAACCTACAGGTATCATTCCTTGACTTCTGGAAAGAGACTGTGTTCTCCACATCTCCTTCCAAGAATTAACTGCCCATCTTGTAGAGACCACACCTGAATTCACTCCAGAGAACCAGGTCCCTGCTGTGGCTATCACAAAAATGTCCTTATATAAGCAAAATTAAAGCAAATTGAATTTAATTTGGGAGGGGTAAAAAGGGATATTTATAACAAGGTATATCTGAACTCTAGGCAGCACCACTCTATTGGATACAAACCAAGGTCAACATGACCTGCAGATCTCTAAATCCATCCTCTAGTACTCCAAATAAAAGCTAAAAAACAAAAACACAAAAAACTAAGCTCACCAATAACTCTGGGATAGCTTTCTGTTAGGTGGTGTGCAGAGTCAGTATTCTGAGTCAGAAATACTGGCCTATTCCACAATTTTTGAGACATGTTAGTGCTGAGTCATTTTTAATACCACTACACATATACGATACTCAACAATTTCCTGCTGCCCAGCCTACAAAACCTGCTGAGGGTATAAAAGCAAAGGAGTATCCAATTTGGAGTATCTGGAGGCAAAATCTTTACAGAAATAAGAGACCTTATAGTCTTGGAATAATTAATCAGATTCAGCATCAGGAATCCAGACTAGATTCTCACAGGGCAATGATGGTCTCAGAAGACTTTTCAAACCAATTATGAGGTCTAGAAATTACCATGGAGAAATGGACGTTAGTTAGCTTCTTATCATGACACACGTGGGCTGTTTTTGCCCCTCCCCCTACCCTTTTTTTTTTGAGATGGAGTCTCGCTCTGTTGCCCAGGCTGGAGTGCAGTGGCACGATCTTGGCTCATGGCAAGTTCCGCCTCCCAGGTTCATGCCATTCTCCCGCCTCAGCCTCTCGAGTAGCTGGGACTACAGGCGCCCGCCACCATGACCAACTAATTTTTTTGTATTTTTAGTAGAGACGGGGTTTCACCATGTTAGCCAGGATGGTCTCGATCTCCTGACCTTGTGATCCACCTACCTCAGCCTCCCAAAGTGCTGGTATTACAGGCTTGAGCCACTGCACCTGGCCGCCCCTCCCCACCATTAACGTGAGGACAGGCTGTTTGAAAAGGGGCCTGGTAAATAATGATCATAAGTCAGGAGAGTAGTTACCTTTAGTGGGATGGTATGACAGTGTGCTGTGCAGTGCTGCAATGTTTTATTTCTTGACCTGGATGGTGGCTATTTGTGCATTTCCTATAATTACTCATAACTTACACATGTTAATACCTTTTTTATACATATTGCATCTCTAAATAAAAGAAAAAAGGAATTTTAGTACCCTGTAATACTTTTACTATTTCACATTATCTGGAACTGGTTTACTATGCTCGAAGGTCTATGTGAAGCCAGAGTAGAGGGAAGGAGCCCTTAGGGTTCAAGCTACTTGCTGGAGAACCTTGCTGTGGTCCTGAGAGAAGTGGAGCTGGAGAGAGGTTTCAAAGCTCTATCTACAATGGCTCAGAGGCAACAGTGTACAAGAAGCTGAAGCTAGTATTTATGGAGTCATAAGAATGACTTGATGGGCTAAAATCACTCAATGGTCAATGTTCACAGTGACCTATTCAAAGCCACAACAGCAAGTGTATAAGATTCAGGACTGTACATAACCTTAAAATACACAGTTAGAAGGACTGAATTTTAAGATTTTTTTTCTTCTAAGAGAGAGTGTCTTAGCCAGGCACGGTGGCTTATGCTAATCCCAGCACTTTGGAGGTGGGTGGATCACTTGAGCCCAGGAGTTCAAGACCAGCCTGGGAAACATGCCAAAACCCCATCTTTTCAAAAAAAAGAGAGAGACAGTGTCTCGCTCTGTCACCCAGGTTAGAGCACAGTGACACAGGCATAGCTGACTGCAGCCTCGAACTCCTGGGCTCAAGTGACTCTCCTGCCTTGCAGCCTGGGATTATACATGTGAGCCACTGTGCCTGGCCCTTTAAGACATCTCATATCACTCAGGAGCTTGGTGAGGTAAGAGGAGAATGCATGTTTGGGGTGGAGGCAAGAATCTGTTTTGTTTTTAAATTTAGAAGGGAATTTTTTTTTTTAAATTTTCCAGATTGGGAAGACATCATAATTATTTTCCCAAGAAAGTCAGGGTCCTTAATACTTTTCCTTCTAGGCCCAAATCAGAGGTCTGTTTTTTTTTCTTCTCTTCCAAGCTTACCTTTGTAAACCCCTTGTGGGTTAGGGAGATGTTGGGAGACAAATGTGTGCTTAAATATGAAAATCAAAAGGCTATTTATCGAAGTGTTAACAGTGATTGCCTCTGGATAGCAACTTGCCTATTTCCCTTGTTCTTTTTCTTATTTCCAAATTTTCTATATTGAATTTCTAGGTAGTAAAACAACAATGAATTAATGTTTAAAGACTGATTAACTGGTTCCTTCTTCAGAAGCTGAGCATAAACACTTGTCCTCATCTCCCCATGGCTGAGACAGTGGCCCTGCCTGGCACCATGGACAGCAATCAGGGAAGGGTGAAAGGGCAAGAGTGGGGCAGGCCTGGGCTTCAGGCGTACACTCTACCCCAAGCCAACCACTTCAGGAGGAATTACTGGGGAAATGCAAAATCATTTCCAAATCTTTTCCTTCCCCACCTTCCAGTCAAGCCATGAATCTCCATTTAAAGCAGCCACTCACTTCTTAGTTCTTTTAAACATTTATTTATTTACTGTACAAAATATTTACATCATCAGCTGCAACTGCCTGGCCCTTTCACCTGGCCTGAGCAATCTGCAGCGGGGCTTGGTCTCTGCCAATTTTCCAGAAACATGCTGACACTCTCCTAGGTATTCACTCATGTCTGGTCTCCTTCAAAGACGCTAAAGGCCAGAAGGGTAGCTGGCCCCCCAAGTACCTGGGTCACAAGGACATAAATAAAATAACTGTCCAAAATAAGAAACACTAATAGAAAATTGCCCAACAAATAACACACTCTCATCTCTTTGACATATTGTACCTTTTCCCCACACTGGCTAGTATGAAAGCAGGATTAGAAAAAAACAAAACAAAACAAAAGAAAAAGAAAGGTAAAAGAAAAGGCCCAAGAGAGCAAAGATACTTTTGAATAAAGTTAGGACAGAGAGAGTAAACTGGAAGAATAGAAAACCACAACAGTACCAAAGGGTTTTGTTTAACAAAGACTGGTGCCTAAGGACCACCACAGGGATGCAGCTGCCCTGGTTGGGTTGCAATGGTGCCTAAGATGCTCTGAAAAAGTGCTATGACTAGAGCTTAAAATGACAGATCTAGCCAAGACAATCAACTCAGTCTCCAGGATCAGTCTCTGGAAGGCTGCCGGAGGGGAGAATTCAGAAAAGCAACTGCCAAAAACAGCAGAACCAGTCCACGTGCCCCCAGCTGGAAACCCCTTTCTGGGCCCAAGGGGGCAACATCATGTTTCCCAGGGTGATGATAAACCTTCCTGTACATATCCCATGGGAAAACATTTGGGCAAGCAGCAGCACCTTGTCCTGGTCCCTGAGGAGAGCAGTGACCATGTGGCATGGAGGATCCTGGGGTACAGAGACCCTGATGCTGGATCCCGGACCCCAAGGATGAGTGAGGTCAGCACCCATGTGCCAAGAAAGGACAAATGATGACTGCGAAAGAGTGAGGTCAGGCAGGAACTGTAGCAGCTCAGGAGGGCTTGTTCCTCATGATCCCTGGGAACAGGAGGGCTCAGACATGCTTCCAGGAGGCCAAGGCATTGCCAAAGTCCTGCCTTGTCTCAGGACTCTGTGTACTTGCTGGTTTTGGCAATAAGGATGGCTTGTAATATTCTGAGTTGACTGCCCCATTGGGAATGGTAGCTTGCAGCAAAGCCTTCTTAAAAACACAAATTTGGGAAGTCAATGAGATTTTCAATCTTGAAATTGTTCTCAAATAGTAATGAAAAAGGATGTTGTCATCTTCCAAGAGACAGCAGCAGGTACTCTTCAATCATCATTCAACAGTGAACCTAATAAGCTTCCTCCCTCCTTAGTTCTCCTTCCTTGTAACTGATGGAGCAAAGGGGAGTATAGGGGTTGGCAGGTGTTTACTGTGTAACATATCACCTCCATGTTCGTCCCTAGTGTCCTGACCCCAAGGACCTGTGATAAGCACGTAAACTCCTAATCCCTGGTCCTTTGTCTTAGTGCTGCCAGAGAACACCAAGCAGACAGAGAATCAGGGATTGCTGGCATACTATTCTTACTGTTCTAATCTTTTGCTACAAAATTTTCTTCAGTAGAACGCTAAAGAATCCCCAGCTTTTAGCAGACTACATAATAGGGAAGTCAGTGGCCCAAGCCGGCCATACTTCAGTGCCAATAACCAACTCAGGGAAAAGCATCAGTAGTCTCCAAGCCAGCCACACGCCTAGGCATGCCCCACTCTGGAGGCTACAGCTCAGCTATCCTTCATATTCTTCAGTCTATCTGCTTTTCTCACTGGCTACAATTCAAGAAAAAGCTTAGAGAGTTCTTCTTTGTGGATTAATAATCGTTTCCAGAAATGCCCGAAGGGAAAGTGCTTTTTCCAGTTCTGACACCACAAAAAGAGATTCTTTTTATCAGTCCTCATTAGAGGCAGTCCAGTGCCATGGCCTATGCCTACCATTGTGCAGAGGGACTGCTCCTATGGGCCACCTCCTATCTGTCCCTCTCTCCTGGCTCCTGATGAGAAGAGGCAATCACCCCACCCATGAGAAGGACTCAAGTACCAGTCTGGTCAAGTAGTGAGGGCCAAAGAGGGTGTCTCCAAGGAGTATCAGCAGAGGGAGTTTTGGAGCAGTGTAGATTTAAGGGTCTCCACACTAGTTTCCCAACAGGGCTGAGCCCCGTGTGCCATCTCCCTCAGCTACTGAGATCTTCAAAGGACCAAATAAATGACAGCAGCATGGTCCTCTTCTCATGACAGAATGAAGAGCTCAGCTTACATACCATGCCAAAGTGGCCTGTGGTAGATATGGGCAGAGAGCAGGTGAGGTAAAGACAAGGCTTGTAGGTGACACAATCCTCCAGACACAAGGGAGCATGCGGCATCTTCTGGCTGATGGTTATGTGTGTTAGGATCAGTGGTTATGATGTCTGTAACTTGTGCCCAGAAGCTCCAGAGAGCATGGGAGCCAAGTGGATGACAGGAGAGCGGTCAGAGCATGCCAAAGCCCTCGCAACCCTCGCTGATGGCCAGCTGCAGCATCCTGTGCACCTCTTCATAGGAGTCATATGTAGGGAGGCACAGCTGGTTAAAACTGGAAGGGCAAGGGAGAAGTGATTAACTCATACCACCAAACACTGGACATGCATCAGGCGGGCAGATACCTACCATGTGTGTGCAGTAGGCAGCGTGCTATGGGTCGGAGCGGCAATAATCTGAAATGAGGGACAGAGGGCGGCAAAGCCTCCAGGTGGTAGCTGAGAGGAGCCTGTTGTGAACTGAAGAAGCCGAGCCAGCTCCTCCTGGGTCAGACTGGAAACCACAGTCCAAAACCACCTCATGACCTGGCAGGGAGAGCACAGGGCTGGGATCACACATGGTAAACAGCCTAGGGTTAGAACCCTGTGGAAGGAACAAGATACACTGAAGTGGGGCTGTGCCCCAGTTACCATTCTATGAGGACACAGGATAGGAACAGTTTGACAAGCACTTCAAGAATTTACATTGTCACACCATTAGGAGGGTAGTCACTGACTGTTGGTTCTCTTTCTTTGCCATCTCTAATTTACTACTCCTGTGGCAGTAAGCATGATAGCCCCTAGGGATCAGGGCTCCCTTCTGCCTGGACAATCACCTGTCTTTCCCCATATATCATTTTCTTTTCCCCAGAAAACATGTCAACTGCTTTGACTCCTCTACTTTTTTTTCTTTTTTCTTTTTCTTTTGAGACAGAGTCTCGCACTGTCGCCCAGGCTGCAATGCAGTGGCGTGATCTCAGCTCACTCCACCTCCTGGGTTCAAGCGATTCTCCTGCCTCAGCCTCCCAAGTAGCTGGGACTACAGGCATGTGCCACTATGCCCAGCTAATTTTTTTTTTTTTTTTTTTTTGTATTTTTAGTAGAGTTGGGCTTTCACCATGCTGGCTGGCTAGTCTCAAACTCCTGACCTTCTGATCCGCCTGCCTCAGCCTCCCAAAGTGCTGGGATTACAGGCATGAGCCACTGCACCCGGCTTCCTCTACTTTTTCCTTCTGAAATTTTTTCCTTATAACATGGCACAAATCCAACCGAAGAAGTTTGGTCCATTTACCTTTTCTCTGAAATGCCATGAGCCACCAACAACTACTGCATGAGCTTTGAAGTCAGACACACTGATGTCTCCAGTCCCACACATCAGAAGCTGGAAAAAGATGGTAAGGTGTTACTATGACAGTCAGAGAGACAAAGACCCAATATAAGGTCAAAATTACCTAAGTTAACAGGCAAAATGTAGAATAAAGAAAACATTACTAGGAAAAAGACTGAAGGTGAGATCATAATGCCAGAATGCTGCTTTAGGAAAATCAGTTACATACAATAGGGCAATAGTTGCTAACCAGTGGGTAAAAAAAGAATCACATGGCTTTTAAAATATATATTTGTGCAAGTGTTGGTGGCCCTACCTTGGACCTCTAAATCTGACTCTCTTGGAACAGGTTATGAGCTTATGCAGGAAGCAAAAAAATTGCCCAGGTATTTCTTTCTTCTTTTTTTTTTGAGACAGAGTCTCACTCTGTCTCGGCTCACTGCAACCTCTACCTCTCCACCTTGCATGTTCAAGAGATTCTCCTGCCTCAGCAGTACTCCTCTCCTTGAGTAGCTGGGATTACAGGCGAGGTATTTCTGATGAATACCCTAATTAAGAACTGCTGCTATGGATTATTTTTAATTGAAACAAAGGACAACAAAACCACACAAACAAAAACTAAGTGTTTCCTCAGAGTCTGGTCTAAACTTAACCTGTGAATAACAAGGAGAAAAGGCAAGCTGTTTCCCCAAAATCCCCAGTCCCATTTATGAATTTGTTGGATGGCCTTTCCTTTTTCTTAGGATGCATTCTTTTGTGGATTGAACTTTTACTACCTTCCCTTCGGCTCTGCCTCTACTTGATCAGATAAATTTAAAAGTATGCCAAAAAATGAGAACATTAATGACATCAGAGCCCTAAACATCTTGTTGATGTCCTAATTTGGTTCAGGATCCAGCATGTTACTTAGCAGACTGCAAGTACTCATCCAATAGCTATAAAGAATACATCTTAACCAAGAGACAAGAAAAACCCAAACTAAGCCTGAGAAGCCTTGGCTCCTTCAAAGAGAACTTGCTAAGCTGATGAGGAACTAAGAGCAGGATGTGGAACAACTGTAAGATACCACGTCCTTCCTTTCTACTCACTTCTACAAATTGTTACAAATGCTTTGCTTCAAAATAAAACAAAATTTGCCCGTAGCTACTCCTTAGCCCAAAAACTAACAGTGCCAGGTAACAGGTTTATCAGAAACTTTAGGCTGAGCCGTGGAGAGTTCATTTTGTTTGGATTTCACATCTGAAGATATAAAACATGAAAATTACAGATTTTGATTCTTGTTCTCAAATCCACTTCAGTTAATAAAGAATCGGGCAAGACCACCTAAAACTACTTTTTCCCCCCATTTTAAAAGAAAACCTTCCTCCCTAAAGAAACAGTTTGTAGAAAGACACTCCTCACAGAAACTATGGGAATTTAGAACTAATAACTTGCATCGCACCATCTTGTACAGAGGTCTCATCTGTGAGCAACAGGCCACAACAGACTCATGTTATTCTTTGCCCACACCTGATACGGACTTCAATTCTGCTAATTATACAATAGTATTTACCATCTTAGAGCCATCATTTTAGTTGTTACAGGATCTGAAATAGGAATGAATTTACTATATAAATAAAAATATATACTATATACTGTTGCAGTATAATGCTTTTGAAATATGATCACATCTTTTGGTTTGTTTCCTTCACTTCATTAGAATGTAGCCCCTGAGGGCTGGAACTTTGTCTTATTCGTTACTCTTTCCGCAGTAGGGTCAATGAATGGAGGAGCGACAAAAGTGGAACCACCTCTTGCATAAATGGCTTTCCAGCTGCATCTCATAAGAGAAGGTACACCAAGCTGGTTCCTGTAAGGTACAAAAATGCCAAGTTAAGAATGGGAGTCTGAATTGCAAGCACTTACCTCAAGCTCATTCTCATCAAAAATAGCCAAAAGGTTCTCAGGGACCAATTCATTCAGGCCTGAAACAAAGTAGACAAGTTAATGTCATACATAACCACACTATGGATACAGGTGTTTTAACTTCAAAGCCAAGAACATACAGGAGCTCACCTTTTAGGAAATGTTCCACCTCCTCTTTCACTTGACTGGCCAGCCGATATTGGGCCAGCAAATTTAAATAGAAGATTTTATTCGCATTGGTGACTGGAGTTTGAGCTCCACCTGTCATGAGTTCTACAACCTGTAACAGGCGGCAAAAGACAGACAAGAAGCTGTGGATGGAAATTTTTAAGATGACATCTGCCTGTATGTTTTACAGACACAGAATTACTGACCTCCATCACTAACAGTCACAAGTTTCTGCCGTGCATTTAACTTTCCAACACACTTGGTTTAATTTAGTTCCTAAGCTTCAGGGTTCCTACCACTATTGCTGTATACTAGCTACTACTTCAGAAATGGGTGTCTGGGTAAGGTCTTCTCTGACTCAGTCAAGTAGTAGTGATGCAATAGAAGATATTATGGCTCCTTGTTAGCAGTGTTTTAATCTATGATCCAAAATGAAACCACTACTGACCTTTTCTCTAAGCAACTAAGAGTAAAGTCGGATAAGCAGTAAAGGAGTCTTTTTATGTCTCAGAAATTCCCAGATGGGAACAATTGTTCCCACACATTCTTTTATCTCTGAGTCAACAGAACGAGCCAAGTTTGATACTTGAAGATCCTGGATTCTAATCTCAGCCCTTATGCTAGCTTGCTATAGACCTTTGGTTAATTGCCCCTCCAGACCTTAGGGGCAATTATTTGGCCCTAATTTTCCTATCTGCAAAGAAAACACTGAACAAACTGTATGACTCTCAAATAGAATTGGTAACCCCCAATAAACTACTAAGGGAACCTTGAAAGAGCCCTGAAGCACAGCTTAAAACCATCATCCAGGAATATTTGTGTAGCGTGACCAAGGCTGTCTCCACAGGTGAATGAAGTTATAAGATCAGCTTTTAAGACAACAGCATGGTAGCAATAGCACGCTACTCCACAGCAGGGATTCTCAATGGATCTAAAAATTTAAAATGTTTTTTCTGTTGGTATGTACAATCCCGGATCTTTTTTTTTTTATTTCTATCCAGGAGCCTAAGAAATAAATTATTTAGTATTCATATTAAACACAATTAAAATGAGCAATACCTTGGGTCTGAGGACCCTAATTCAGTGTCCTATTGACTCTAGCTGCCTTATCATGCCAGCTCAGGAAGTCAGGTCTAATCCCATGTGTACAAAGGCAGACAGCTGGGAATCCCATAATTTTCAGGAAGGATATTTGATTATCAGTATAGTGGTAACAATGGTCATAATTTTTCAATCATTCCTATTCTGCTTTTAACTTTATATTTACTGCAACTTTAGCCTCATCATTATCATTTGATGCTGTTTAACACCACAATGTAAATAGAAGCACATGCATCAAAAATATCTCTGGCTCATCGTTTTCTAATAAAAAGTTTTGGTTTTATTATTTTGAGACACGGTTTTGCTGTGTCACCCAGGCTGGAGTGCAGTGGTGCAATCATAGCTCACTGTAGCCTTAACCTCCTGGGCTCAAGCGATGTTCCACCTTCAGCGCCCACTTCCTTCCACACTCCCCCGGTAGCTAGGACCACAGGCACATGCCACCATACCCAGCTAGATTTTTAAAAGTTTTTGTAAAGACAGGGTCTTGCCAAAGTTGCCCAGGCTGGTCTTGAACTCCTGGTCTCAAGCGATCCTCCTGCCTCAGCCTCCCAAAGTGTTGAAATTACAGGCCATGAGCCACTGCGCCCAGCCAAAAAGTTTAAAAATATACAGGCATTGTGTTAAAATAGAAATCACCTACATCACTACTGCAAATGTTGACACAGACACTGCCATCTCTTCCAAATATGCTTGCACAGTGACACTTCATCATCATTCAGTTATTTTTCAATTAGAAATAGGACTCGGTGGGACAGATGGGAGATATGTGTCTTTTGCTTCACTCAAATGTAATAGACAACACAAATATGGAACATTTCCACCACTGCAGAAAGTCATCTTAGACAGTCCTGCTCTATAGGAAACTGGAGAACATGGGACCCAGAGGCTTTGGTCCTCTTTCTCACCTTATCCAATTGACCTGATTTATTATATTTCTCTTCTGCAAAGACCAGCTCCATCTCACTCATGTCATTGTTGAGGATAAAACAAACTTTAGATTTGTAGAATTCTGGGTCATCTGTTTCAAAGTACTGAGGAGGCGGAAAGACACAGAACAGAACATGAATACTCTTGCCCTGAAAGGAAAGTTTTAACTGCTTAAAACCACTTATCCCCTCAACCTTAAAAATTATTATTTACAACCCCAGGAGGAGAGATTTCAGGGTTAATGGCCAGGGGCCTTAGTAGAAAATGCACACCCAAGACGTTACCTTGTAATGCATACGCAGACCTATGATTTGGGCCAGGAAAGAGCGGGTGAAGCGAGCTCGAACCAACTGCTTGTAGGCTCCTCCTAGAGAGGACTCGTAGAGACACTTGCCCACGAGCCGTCCGGCAAACTCATACATTTTCAGGCGCAGATGAGCGGGGCGATTAGGGTTGGGATGCACCTGTTCAAGAAAGAGGCTGAAAGGCCCTAAGCCATTTTTCTTCAAGCCCAGTTCTGGAAAGACCCTTCTTCCCCAACCCCATGCCAAAGGAACAAGAACTTCACTCTGAGGATCAGAGCCCATCCAAATGTTAGTTTTTTGGTAGCCACCATTGAGTAATTCCAAGTGACTGGAAGATAAAGGGCAAAGGTGGACTTAATTAAGAATCTTATATTAAGTTTGTGGTTAATCAGCAGATGATGTGATGCCTTTTCCCTAAACCAGAACTTCTTTCAGCCAAAGCGTACTTCTCTACTGACACCTTTGTCTAGTCAAAGATCTAGTACAGGAATCATTTGCTTCAGATATGTTTTGAGAAAGAGGCTTAATTATTATAACTAGCAGAGTAGACATTGTACTATAATGTTTTTTAGTCAAATATTCAACTGTCTGCATTTTTGCTTATCTTACAGATGAAATAATAAAGGCAAAGAGGAGGAAGACAATCTGATTAGCTCATATTTTAAGCAGCAAAATAAAGAATAGGACACAGGTTCTCAGGTTCCCAGATCAGTTTCATAATTTCAAATCCCGGTTAGTCTACCCATGATAACACAATCCACATCTTCCACCCACCCGTCACCGACTCACTAGTGCTTGGTTGTTGTCACTGAACCGGGTGAAGAGCTGATTGGTGGTATCAAACAGCGCTTTGCAGATGAGCTCAAACCATTCCCGGCGAGGCCCTCCCCAGTCCAGAGCTGAAAAGCATAATGAAAATAAAAAATGACTCTGCCCTACCTCCTCTTACCACTTTTGTTTATTAAGTAATTTTATATTCTCCACATTCCCTCTATTGTACTACCCTGGTGTTTCTCCATTGCAACTCATCTAAACTGTGGTCCTTTTGAAATCCCACCTCTTTTTGTAGGATTAATGGTATTCTGATCACTAAGGAAATGCCCCCTAGTATGGAAACGCCAGAGGTTGGAGATCCCAGGAAATGGACATTTCTCTCAAGGTAACCAAGGTTCAGGCTCTTAGAACCCTCCCTCCAAGTCCCTGTATGTGTGTGTTCCACAAGCTCCTCCATGCTATCCTGCCCAGTAAATACTACCCTTTTTCTCTTGACTCATGGTTCTCTTTCCCTGGGGTGGGGGGGAACAAACCAAAAAAAAACCCTAGGGTGTTTTTTTTTTTTTTTTTTTTTTTTATGGAGAGGGAGTAAGAGAAGGTGGGAGTGGGGAGAAGGGTTCAAAAAGATGAATATAAAATTTCAAAACTGACCTTCTTCATCCTGGAAAACAACCTCAAAGTTCTTGCTCCAATCTGAGATGGAGAAATTCCGAGTGGCTTTCAGAGACTGAAAAGCAGTGAAAGGAAGGGAATTGTCAGAACACTGGCTGGTATCCTCTGGATGTTAAAGACAACAACACAAGAGCACTGCCATTGTCTGTTGGACTAACTACAACTACCTGAAGGAGACATGTTACTCATAAACAAGCTTTAATGATACCACCTGACATTTATGCACATAACTTCAAATTTAAAGTTTTTAAAAATAATCTGATTTGTCTTTACATCATCACTTTGTTGGAAAGTTGAAGTTGTTTTTTTCTTTTTCTTTTGTTTTAAACAATCCTTGTTTTAGTAATGAAAACATTCTTGCATAAAGAAGTAAAAAATGACTCAAGTCAGTAAGCTGTAAGCAAAACAACCAAGGAATCCTGGTTTTCAGCAAAGCATGGTCTATCCTCTAGACATCTTTATCCACAAGGCTAGGTTCAGACAGTGAGCCATGCCACACGGAGAATATGGCTGAGAAAAGGGGTTTCCAGTCACACCTACCAGAGCCAAACATCACAAACACTTTCTGGACAGGAACCAAGCCTTCTCATTCCTGGGGAATGTAAGAACTATGCCAGTGTCTGTGCAGTGGAGACAGACACACATCAGGTGTTCCTTTTCCATCAGACCAAAGTGACAACAAAAATCATTTCCTTTTAATTCAACAAGAGCTCTTCTATTCCAGGGATTCAATAACAAGAAGTTTCTTCTGTAATCACTATTTACACCTGCCCTACATAGGAGTTCCATGGGACTATTCAGGAACCCATTCAGTAGATTTGAAGGCCAGTAAGTAAACTCCTCTCCCCTCAATAACATACCTCCAACAAATCTGCCCCAAATTTGGTAGGATCAAGTAGAAGAACAGACATAAGTAAAGAGAAAAATGTAGGTTTCAGAATTTAGTATATTTGTCTTTTACAGATATACTTAAAAAAGAGAAATTTAAGTTTCATGAAAAAGATAACCAGATCAGGCATGGTAGCTCATGCCTGTAATCCCAACACTTTGGGAGGCTGAGGCAGGTGTATCACTTGAGTCCAGGAGTTAGAGACCAGCCTGAGCAACATGGCAAAATCCCATCTCTACAAAAAAATACAAAAATTAGCCAGGCATGGTGACACACACCTATAGTCCCAGCTACTTGGGAGGCTGAATTGGGAGTATCACAGCCTGGGGAGATCAAGGCTGCAGTGAGTCATGATCGCACCACTGCAACCCAGCCTGGGCAACAGAGTGAGACCCTGTCTCCAAAAACAAAACAAAACAAAACAAAAAACAAAAAGGTAACCTGCAGAATATAGATGTTCAATTGGAAAACTTTGGCATCTGCTGACAGAGATGAAATTTTACCTACCGATTCCAATAAGGCATGCCTGCTGACCTTCAGGGTGACTTTGGAATGTGGTCTTTTCATGTGGACCTGCCGAAGCTCTCGCTGGAAAAAGTTCACCTTGTCCTGAAAGGTCTCAGAGCCTCCTGGGGAGCAGCAAGATCCATCATTAGAGCCTCATTACAAGCCATCTGTGCAGTCCTGCCTCTCCACCCTCATGGATGTGGCTGGGCTCACTACCCTCCCTATAGAACCCCTGTGTAACCTCACCTATGTTCTTATGCAGGGAGCGGATAAAAGTGGCAGCCAGAATGTTCCTCTCCTTACAGCTGAGCTCCACAGGAGGTTGAATGCCATCATCCACCACCAGTGTGAGGAGCTTATGGACAGGGTCAGGACCAAGGTATGAAAACTGGTAAAGAAAAAGAAAGAAATTAATCTGTAAAACCCTCAAGCCCAGTAAAAATCCTCCACAGCTCTACCCTCTGTACCAACCAATAATAAGAAGTTAGGCTTGTTTTCTTCAAATGAGGACCTACCAGGAATACATTTCATTATTTTTCCCTTCAGTGATTTACATTTCAACATTTTAAATTATTTTAGTCACAGAGACTGCCTTTAGTCAGGACCACTGGCAAAACTACAGACCTTCCAACATAAAATATAGGAAGGGTGATATATTAAATAGCAATAAATGGTAATAGGGTGATATATTAAATAGCAATAGTAAGGATACATTAAATAGCAATAAATGACTACTCCAAACTGATCAGATGAAAATTATTTTTATAAAATGGCATATTCTAGCCTTTGGGCAAAAGTTTAGATTCTAGAAGCCCAGAAAAGTTAAAAACAAACAAACAATGTATTTTAATATATGAGAGAGCTGCTTCTAAAGGAATTAGCTTCAGCACACTGGGAGACCAAGCTTGGGCCAGAGTTACAAACATCTTCTCTATTAACTTAAGTCTTGAAGGCAAAGGATCACTGTTGAAGTATTCTGAGTTGCTGCTAATAACTGTTTCTGTAGGTATGTGTCCTTCCAGATTTTATATATTCTTCATGCCATTTAGTGAGGAGATAATGATGCTTTATTTGGCAATGAATCCTGTGTACACTGTGAGATCTTGCAGAAACATTAAAAGTGCTTCTGAGAAAAAATAAAAAGTTGACAGTCCAGAGATGAAGCATGCTTGATGTGGCCAGACATAAGGTTCAGCTTACTTTTGTTCCTGGACACACTCGGAAGGTATAAAGGCGCCAGGGGATGATCTTCAGGTAGAACTCCTTTACTGAGAATTGCTGGAGGACCAAGAGACAGGAAATGAAGTGAATGATAGATAAAAAAGCTCTATTTGGGTATTCTTATTCAAATATCATAGTCCCTATTTACATTTCTCATAACCTTTCCTCTCCATGGACAAAAATAATAATAATTTAGTGAGCACTAAAGTCAAATAAATACATTAACTCTCTATTTAAAAAGGCAAATTAAAAATATTACTCTGATGACCAAGTGTGAATGGCTCACACCTGAAATCCCAGCACTTTGGGAGGCCGAGGGAGGCAGATCACTTGAGTCCAGGAGTTCAAGACCAGCCTGGCCAACATGGCAAAACTCGGTCTCTACTAAAAATACAAAAAAATTAGCTGGGTGCGGTAGCTCATGCCTATAATCCCAAGTACTTGGGAGGCTGAGGCACAAGAATCGCTTGAACCCGGGAGGCAGAGGGTGCAGTGAGATTTGACCATGGCACTCTAGCATGGGTGACAAAGTGAGACCCTGTCTCAAAATATAAAATAAACACATAAACAAAAAAAAAAAAATCACTCTGACAATGCAGTTTCACAAAGAGATATTTCATAATTATAATACTCAAGTCTTTCTAAATATCTGGGATCAGGTCCTCACTTCATGAGAACAGAGTATTTCACCTAGAAACAATCAAAATCTCCTTCTGCTCAGCGCCATGCTGCTCAGAATGACTTCCTCCAAGTTACTGGACAGCAAACACCAGCAACCCACATACACTGCTTTATCCCTATTTGAATGGTGCCAAGGATCTGTCAGGGAAGGGAGACAGGAAGATGGGGTGGGCTGGAGTGGAATATGTTGGTGGTATAAGGGAAGGTCCTCACACAAAAAAGTTCATACAAAAGAGGAAAAGATGATGCAATAATTTTTTAATCTTAAAAAAACCCTTTTATCTGAATATGCAGGTCAGTTGTTTTCTTGATCAAAAAAAAAAGTTTAAAGAAAATTTCAAACACATACTAAAGAAGACAAAGCAGTATAATGAAACTATCAGCTGCTTCAACAATTATCAATTCATAGCCAATCTTGTTTCATTTATTCACTTACCCATTTCCTTCATTACCATCACCCCTAGTCCAAATTAAGGCTAGATTTTTAAATGAAGAATGGTACACAGCAAAGTGTTCTGAAGTAGAACAGAATTATAACTCAGTTTTGGTTATGAGATTAAAGAGATGTAATGGGATGTTGCACAGAGTCTCATTTTTATGAGGACTGAATGAGAAACTAACACAAAGTGCTTCTTAGCTCAGGGGCTTGGGAAATTCACCTTCTTTCCTCTGCCAAAATGTATTTACTCCAATCCTGTAGCCTGATAGTGACATCCATTTACTGTGGTTTCATGAATCACAGAATAAAAGATCAAATTGTTTTGACACAGCACAAGCAGCCAACAGTAATTTTTATGCTAGCAAGAAATTTTTAACGGTTGAAAATAGCTTTCTATACAACTAGTTAACAATCTTGCCCTGATTCTCAGACTGTTACTTTGTGTTTTCTGCTACCAAATACCAATTACACACAGGTTCAAGCAGGGGGATTTTATGTCAAGAATGGAAGTTCCAACCTTTGGTGACACATAGCAGTACACCTTCTTCGGCTTCTTCACCTTCTCAGGGGTGTGGCACTCAGAGGGCGAGTCTTCATCTTCCTCGTCAACAGCAGTGGACGGCCGGCGCTGGGAAGAGGTCATGTGCATGGGTGGCAGGTGCCATGGAGTGCTGCTACAGTTGGTAGCATTATAAAGATAAGCCTCAAAGTAAATGCTCACACCTGAAGTGGACACATTGCGTTCGACGATGTTCTTCTCATCCTCTGAAGTATAATAGGGAGTAGAAGTCAGGGGAGAAAAAAATTACCTATCACTAGGCTTTCACTCCACAGGACAAGCCAAATATGGCCCAAATATCAAATGTTTGTGAGGTCAGACAAAAGAGTGCAGACAGGCAAAGAAGTGGCTGAAGAACAGCACTAAATCATACTTTTCTTTCAACTTACCACTTAGGACAATAATGTCAAATTCGCCATTATTGATTGGCTGATTTTGGTATGAAATGCAGGCATGGAAGCAGCCTCGAGAATGCAGGGTGAGTCGCAAGAACACCTGGAAAGTCTGCCTGTTGGATGTCACTGACTTCTCAAATGAGACACCAGTACTCTCTTCTTCTTGAGGGCCGAGCTATAGGAAGACAACAGAGCATCACTTAACATACAGTATCTTCCCCGTTTACAAGGCACTTTACTCTTTACAAAGAGCTTTCCTATCTACGATCTAATCTAAATCACAAAATTACTAATGAGACAGGTATTGTCAGATGAAGATACAGACGGCACAGAAGTCAGGGAGAAGGAAACAGAGATGGAAGTGAATTAGAAGGTGTGAGAATGACAGAGAAAGCAGCCAGCTCTCTCTAGCACACAGATAAAGAAGGGAGGCTGCTTACCTCATGAATGGACAAGGTGTAATTGTGCTCATCTCTCAAGGACATGGAATTGTTGGTGGGATTATCATACTCATCTCGGGGTACTATTTGAAGAGTGTGCGGCTGCCCACAGGTCAATACAAGAGTAGAAAAGTGGCACACAATTTTGGTCTTAGAAGGAACCACCATTCCTGGAACAAAGATAATGGAATCTAACATTTAAAGGTGCTCTTCAGGGCACAAAGATCTGCTCAGTGGGTCCTAGAAAGCTAGGTTTCCTCCCAATTCCTAGGGATAAGTAACACTACCAAGAGGAAGAGAGGCCAGGTGCAGTGGCTCACACCTGCAATCCCAGCACTTTGGGAGGCCAAAGCCAGAGAATCCCTTAAGGATCCCTTAAGAAGTTCAAGACCAGCCTGAGCAACATAGCGAGACTGTCTCTACAAAAAATAAAAATTAGCCGGGCGTTCATGTAGTAGCTGGTTCATGCCTGTGTCCCAGCTACTCAGGAGGCTAAGGCAAGAGGATCACTTTAGCCCAGGAGGTAAAGGCTACAGTGAGCTGTGACCACACCATTGCATTCTAGCCCCTGTGTGACAAAGGAAGACCCTGTCTCTTTTTTTTTTTTTTGAGATGGAGTCATGCTCTGTTGCCCAAGCTGTAATGCAGTGGCATGATCTCGGCTCACTGCAACCTCCGCCTATCAGGTTCAAGCGATTCTCCTGCCTTGGCTGAATAGCTGGGACTACAGGCACCTGCCACCACACCCAGCTAATTTTTGTATGTTTTAGTAGAGACAGGGTTTCGGCATATTGGCCAGGCTGGTCTCAGACTCCTGACCTTTTAATCTGCCTGCCTCAGCCTCCCAAAGTGCTGGGACTACAGGCGTGAGCCACTGTGCCAGGCAACCCTGTCTCCTTATTAAAAAAAAAAAAAAAAAAGAAAGAGGAAAAAACAGAACTAGAGAAATTCAAATGAATTTGGCGGCTCATTTTTACAAATTCTTAACCACTGCAAACCCTAAGCAAAATGAAAAAAACTTGGAAGAAATAAAACAAAACAAAAAAACCAACAAACAACTAAACAAATGGAGACATGTTTATGGAAGATCCAACACAGTACAGATGTCAATTTTCCCCAAATTGATACATAGTTTTAACACAATTCTTATTAAAATTCTAGCAAGATTATTTATAGATTTAGTTAAGATTATTCTAAAATTTAAATGGAAAGGCAAAGGAACTAGAATAGCTAAAACAATTTTGAAAAAGAAGAATAAAGTGGAGTCAGCTTACCAATTTCAAGACTTATTATAAGAGCTACAGTAATCAGGCTGTGCGACTTGGCTCACACCTGTAATCCCAACACTTTGGAAGGCCAAAGCAGGGAGATCACTTGCGTCCAGGAGTTCGAGACCACCCTGGGCAACATAGTGAGACCCTATCTCTACAAAAAAGATAAAAAATTAGCTAAGCGTGGTGGTACATGCCTGCAGTTCCAGCTACTCAGGAGGCTGAGGCGGGAGGATTGCTTGAACCCAGGAAGCCAAGGCTGCAGTGAATCATGATCGCACCACTGCACTCAGCCTGGGTGACAGAGTGAGACCCTGTCTCAAAAAAAAAAAAAAAAGAAGAGAGAGCTACAGTAATCACGATTCTGTGGTACTGGCGGAGGGATAGGTACATAGATTAATGAAATAAGCCTCCACAAATATGTCCAACTGCTTTTTGATAAAGGTACGAAAGCAATGTAAATAGAAGAAAGATCACCTTTTCAACAAATGATGCTGGAGTAAATAGACATGCATAAGCAAAAAAATAAAAAATAAAAAAAGGACCTTGACCCAAGTCTCACATATTAACATTAACTAAAAATAGATCATGACCCTAAATACAAATTTCAAACTGTAAAAACTTTTGGGGGAAAAAAAAAAAGAGAGAGAGAGAGGATCTGGGACCAAAGATTTCTTAGACGCTAACAGTTTGACCATAAAAGAAAAAAAATGGATACACTGGATTTCTTTCTTTCTTTTTTGAGATAGGGTCTCACTTTGTTGACCAGGCTGGAGTGTAGTGGCATGATCACAGCTCACTGCAGCCTCAATCTCCTGGGCTTAAGCTATCCTCCCATCTCCCTGCTCCAACCTACTCCCCAGTAGCTGGGACTACAGGTGCACGCCACCACTCCCAGCTAATTTATAAATTGTTTATAGAGATGAGGTCTCACTATGTTGCCCAGGCTGGTCTTGAACTCCTGGGCTCAAGTGATTCTCCTACCTTAGAAAGTGGATTTCATCAAAATTGAAAACATGTGCTCTGTGAATGACTCTGTTAAGGGAATAAGAAGAAAAGCTCAGCCTGGGCAACATGGCGAAGCCCCATCTCTACAAAAAAATACAAAAATGACCCAGGTGTGGTGGCACGTGCCATAGTCCCAGCAACTTGGGACGCTGAGGTGGGAGATCACCTAAGCCCGGAGAGGTCAAGGCTGCAGTGAGCCGTGACTGTGCTACTGCACTCCAGCATGGGTTACAGAGTGATACCCCGCCTCCAAAAAGAAAGAAAGAAAAGCTACAAATGGGGAGAAAATATTTGCAGACCATATATTTAACAAAGGACTAGCATATAGAATATATACGGAACTCTCAAAAGTCAACAGTAAAAAACCAAAATGGGCCAGGCACAGTGGCTCATGCCCGTAATCCCAGCACTGCGGGAGGCCAAGGCGGATGGATCACCTGAGGTCAGGAGTTTGAGACCAGCCTGGCCAACAGGGCAAAACCCCATCTCTACTAAAAATAGAAAAAATTAGCCGGGCATGATAGCAGATGCCTGTAATCCCAGCTACTTGGGAGGCTGAGGCAGGAGAATTGCTTGAACCTGGGAGGCAGAGGTTGCAGTGAGCTCAGATTGTGCCATTGCACTCCAGCTTGGGTGTCAGAACGAGACTCCATCTCAAAAAAAAAGAAAAGAAAAATAAATAAATAATAATAATAATCCCATTAGATAATGGGCAAAAGGACCAGTGTGGTGGCTCACGCCTGTAATCCCAGCACTTTGCAGGGCCAAGGGGGTGGATCGCTTGAGCTCAGGAGTTCGAGACCCACCTGGCCAACATGGCAAAACCCTGTCTCTACAAAATATACAAAACTTAGCCAGGAGTGGTGGTGTGTGCCTGTAATCCCAGCTACCCAGGAGGTTGACAAAGGAGAATTGCCTGAACCCAGGAAGAGGAGGCTGCAGTGAGCCAAGGTAGCACCACTGCACTCCAGCCTGGGCAACAGAGCAAGGCTGTCTTAAAAAAAAAAAAAAGAAGGAAATGAAATGAAATGAAATGAAATGAAAGGGAAGGGGAGGTGAGGGGAGGGGAGGAGAGGAAAAGAAAATGGACAAAAGACATGAAGAGACGTTTCACCAAAGAGGATACACAGATGACAGGCACACGAAAAGATTTTCAACAGCATTAACTATTTAAGAAATGCAAATTAAAAGCACAATGAGATACCACTACACACTTATCACAATGGCTAAAATAAAAAATGATGACAGCATTAAATGTTAGCAAGGATGTGAAAAAAACTGGATCATTCATACATTGCTAGTGGGAATGTAAAATGCTACAGCCACTCTGGAAAAGAATGTGGCAATTTAAAAGAAACTAAGCATACAACTGCAATACATCTCAGCTACTGCATACTAGAGAAATGAAAACTTACGTTCACATGAAACCTGTAGATGAATATTTATAGCAGCTTTATTCATAATAGCCCCCAAATGGAAACAACCCAGATATCCTTTAACAGGTGAATAGTTAAACAAAGGGGTACATTCAGACCACAGACTATAGGTAGAGTATCCCTAATCCAAAAACCAGAAATCCAAAATGCTCCAAAATCCAAAACATTTTGCATACCCACACGATACTCAAAGGAAATGCTCACTGAAGCATTTAGGGTTTCAGATTTTTGGATTAGGGATGCTGAAGGGGTAAATAAGTATACTGCCAATATTCCAAAACCCCCAAAAATCTGAAATCCAAGACACTTCTAGGCAGGCACAGTGGCTCATGCCTGTAATCCCAGCACCGTGGGAGGCCGAGGCAGGAGGATCGCTTGAGGCCAGGAGTTAGGAAACCAGCTTGGTTAACATAATGAGACTCTCTCTCTACAGAACAAAAAATCAAAAAATTAACCGAGCGCGGTGGTGCACACTCGTAGTCCCAGCTACTTGGGAGGCTGAGGTGGAAGGAGCCCAGCAGGTCAAGGCTACAGAGAGCCATGATCCTGCCACTGCATTCCAGCCTGGGTGACAGAGCAAGGCCCTGTCTCAAAAACTACAAAACATGCCTGGGTGACAGAGCAAGGCCCTGTCTCAAAAACTACAAAACATTCCTATACCATGTTTGGAGAGAAAAAAACCACAAAACCACACTTCTGGTCCCAAGCATTCTGGATGAAGAATACTCAACCTGTACTACTCAGCAGTAAAAAGGAACCAACTGGCCGGGCGCAGTGGCTCAAGCCTGTAATCCCAGCACTTTGGAAGGCTGAGACAGGCAAATCACGAGGTCAGGAGATTGAGACCATCCTGGCTTACACGGTAAAACCCCGCCTCTACTAAAAAATACAAAAAACTAGCCGGGCGAGGTGGCGGGCGCCTGTAGTCCCAGCTACTCAGGAGGCTGAGGCAGGAGAATGGCGTAAAACCCAGGAGGCGGAGCTTGCAGTGAGCTGAGATCCGGCCAGTGCACTCTAGCCTGGGCGACACAGCGAGACTCCATCTCAAAAAAAAAAAAAGGAACCAACTACTGATACACTCAGTAACCTGGATGAATCTCCGGAAAATTATGCTGAGTGAGGAAAAGTCAACTCCAACAGGTTATATACTATATGATTTTAGTTATATAATATTCTTCAAATGACAAAATTATAGAAATGGGGAATAGATTCATGAGTTGCCAGAGGTTAAGAAACAGGTTGGCAGCGGGTGGGGCAGAGGGGCAGGCACGGTGGCTCATGCTTGTAATTCCAGCACTATGGGAGGCCAAGGCGAGCGGTACATGAGGTCAGGAGATCGAGACCATCCTGGCCAACATGGTGAAATCCTGTCTCTACTAAAAATACAAAAATTAGCTGGGCGTGGTGGCACGTGCATGTAATCCCAGCTACTCAGGGTGAGGCAGGAGAATCCGTTGAACCAGGGAATCAGAGGTTGCAGTGAGCCAAGACTGCGCCACTGCACTCCAGCCTGGTGACACAGCAAGACTTCGTCAAAAAAAAAAAAAGACACAAACAAACAGGTTGGGAGGGGATGGGTGTGGCTGTAAAAGGGCAACATGAGGGATCCTTTTGACGATGGAAATGTTCTGTACCTTGGCTGTATCAATGTCAATACCCTGGCTGTTATATTGTACTAGTAGTTTTGGAAGATGTTACCATTGCAGGAAACTGGGAAAATGGTATACCAGATCTCTGAGTTATTTCTTACAAATGCATATGAATATACAATTATCAAAATATAAAAAGTTTAATTTTTTAAAGAGGGCTGGTACATATAAGGATATGAGCTGTTCTCCACTCGTGGCAAGGAGGTGGGTGATGATAATTCATGTGAAAAGGAGTCTCTGAGTGAGGCACTTAAGCAAAGGAGAGGATACACACAGAAAGAGATGGCTTGGGAGCCATTTTGCCCAGAGCCTTACTCTGCTATCAGAGAAAGAAAACTGAGGACTAGTTAAGCAAAGATACACAAATCTTAAGGCCCCACTCAGTAAGGTTTCACTTCAAAAGTTACCTAGGGACCCCAGGTCCTATTATTTCTGTGGATACCACAGCCCTTAGCCCTTAAGAACTAACCAAACTAATGACTCAGCAATTTTACTCCAGAGTAATAAAAACATGTCAACACAAAAACACAACACAAATGTTCACAGCAGCATTGCCTACAGTACCCAAAAGTAGAAACAACTCGACCACCAACCGATGAAAAGATAAATAAAATGCAGCATATACACACAACGGAATATTATTTGTCAATAAAAAGAAATGAAGTACAGATTCACGCTACAGCATGACTGAAACTGGTTTAGATATTTGTACCCTCCAAATTGCATGCTGAAATGTGATTCCCAATGTTGGAGGTGGGGCCTGGTGGGAGGTGATGGGGTCATAGGGGAGGATCCCTCATGAATGGCTTGGTCTCCTCCTCATGGTAATGAATAAGCTCTTGTTCTGAGTTCATGCAAAATCTGTTTGTTTAGAAAAGCCCAGCACCTCCTCCCTCTCTCTCTTGCTCCCTCTCTCACCATGTGACACTCCTGCTCCCGCTTCGCCTTCCACCATGAGTAGACACTTCGCAAGGCCTCACCAGAAGCAGATGCTGGTGCTACGCTTTTTGTACAGCTTGCAGAACCATGAGCCAAATAAACCTCTTTTCTTTATAAATTACCCAGTCTCAGGTATTTCTTTACAGCAAGACAAAAGCAGCCAAACACAGTAGGCAAATCGACAGAGACAGTAGATGAGTGGCTGCCTAGGTCTGGGGGATTTGGGGAGAAAGTGACTACTAATATGTATGGGGTTTCTTTCTGAGGTTATGAAAATACTCTAAAATCAACTGTGAAGATGGCTCCATTTAAAGAACCATTAAACTGTATACTTTAAAAGGATGAATTTTATGGCATGTTAATTAAATCTCAATAAAGGTATTATTTTTAAAAAGGAAAGATGGGATGGAAGGAGTGAGAGAGAGGGAAGGAGACAAAGGGAAAAAGAAAGGAAAAAAGAACCTACCAGGTTGAAAAATTTTGTAGTAGGGACTGTATGCCACATTTAATCCGCCAAGCTTCACTGTGATTTCATAACGCCCAGCCTTGCGCACAGTGAAGGCCACTTTTACCACATTGGAATTGGGCTCCTGAAGGACTTCCTGGGTCACTGGAATTTCCACTGCTAGCTCGACATGAGAGATGTGAACTCTTAGTCCCACAGGCCGATGTGCAGGGAAAGGCTGCCCGTTCTTATAGAATAACTGCCATGGAAAGAAGGACACCCGTTAGCAAGCAGAGGAAAAAAACATTTCCTGTGTAGAGTGAGTGGGGAGAGAGGAAGTAGCTAGCAGAGATCACACTGGTAAATCCCAGTACCTACCCTGTTCCTCACAGTCCTGCTCACAAAAACACAGAGAGAAATAAATCCCATCAATACTCCAAAGAAAACCATTAAGTCATGAGCAAATTCTTAACCTGTTCAGAGGACAAGGGTAGAATTTACCATGAAATCAAGAAAATGTGCATTTTAACTTGCCACTTCTGAACCACCAACGCTGCCTCCTTGGTCTTATCATCCCTTTATATTATCAATGCTAACCCAAATTTAAAGGTAAGTTAGCCGGCAGCACTGGCAATGAGTGAACTAAAGCGTTACCAGACAAAGGTAGGAGGGGTTCAGGCTCTCAAGCCAAGCTTAATGCTACAGTGAATAAGTCAATGCAAGAGTTGGGAAATTTTTTCTGTAAAGTGCCAGAGAATAAATGTTTTGGCTTTGTGGGCTGTACACAACTACTCAACTGTCATAACTACTCAGGTGTGAAAACAGCCATAGTCAATACATGATGAATGGGTATGGCTGTGTTCCAAGACAAATGTATTTAAAGAAACTGAAGGTGGGCCTGATTTGCTAACCCAAAGAGTAAGTACTATTACTTATTCTTTTCTGTAATATTTTTATTTTGAAAAGGTAACATTAAGGCTTATACTTCTTCAAAGCTAAGGACCTATTAAATCAAAATGACAGAGAAATTTGTGACTCTTCCGATAGCAGCAATTCACTAGTTCCTGGAAGGGGTTGAAAAACAAGAGAAAATGTTAACATTCCAGGCCAGCACCTGGTAGTGTTGAACTGGGCTCTGGAAAGCAAGTTACTCAGAAACCCCAATGGGTATGGAGACAGAAACATTCCCTTACATGCACTCGGAAGGCCATGCTGTGGCCCACCTCATAGGGGTCCTTCCAATCCCAGGAGACTTTGCAAGACCGGGGATCCAGGTAATTTCCTCGCACGTAGTCATAAATAGTCCGGTCTCCTCGGCGCTCGCGGTCCTCATTCTGGAGGAAGCTGACTACACGTGCGGCAAGCTCAAAGAGGAACTTAATTGTGAAGAAGAATGCAACCACAGACACTGTGATTCCACCTATGCAAAAGAGAGAACACACAAACCGCCTGCCAGTTACACATTACAGCTTTTCATTAAGGAACAGGCCAACCATTTCTCAAAAATTAAAGGAAGTCAGGATGAGACTGTAAGGCTGCCAAAGAAACACTGCACTGGGTACTACCTCTGTGGATAAGAAAGGAACTTCTACACCAGGGGTCAGCAACTACAGTCCTCAGGCCAAAGTCCACCCACTGCTTATTTCGGTAAATAAAGTTCCATTGGGATATAGCCACACCCATCATTTATAAGTTGTCTATGGCTACTTTTGCCCCACACTGGCAGAGTTGAGTTATTGAAATGAGCCTTTGGAACCAAAAATATTTACTCTCTGGCCTTTTATAGAAAAAGTTTGCAAACTCTTGCTCTATACGAGCTGCATATAATGTCCGCCCTGCTCCCCACTTTCCTGCACTTGCTGGGCCCCCCACAGAAGCAGTAAAAAGGATGTGCCTTTGGTTTCTTTCTTAAAATAATGCATTATTTGGGAGCCCTCCCCTCCCTTGTGTGCTTGGCAAAAGTGTTCCCCAATCCCCACCAGAGTTAGCAGTTCCCTTTTCTGGGCTCCTTTAAACTCCTGCACATTCATCTGGTATAACTTTCCTCCTCCTTGACCATTTCTCTTTATGTTATGAATGAGTACTCCTTGAAGGCAGATTTTCATCTTATTCAACTTTAGACTCCACAGTAAACAGTGTCTGGCATTGACTATAATTACTCAATAAACCCAAATGAATGAATTCCAATGCCAACTCTGTGAAGGTACATTCTGGCATGACTAGAAATATTTCCAGCTCCATTTTCAAAGGGAAAGGAATAGGCAGAAAAGGAAAAAGAACCCAAGCAACCTTAACAAAAATATAATAGAGAGAGTTCTTTCCATAACGTACCAATAACGTAAAACATCAGGTCCCTTCAATGCCAACAGACAGCCGAGGATCACAGCTGCAGCTGTTAAAAGAAAACTTGTTTAGTTTTTTTTCTCCAACTCTGCCTTGTAGCTATCTCACAGTAAGACAGAGTGTATGGCGTGAGCCAGACAACTCTCTCGAGTCTAGAGCCTTACTATTCCTGTCCTCTTTCTAGCTTGACAGGTGCCCTATAATATATTTCAGAGAAACAAACAGAGACTGCATCATTCCCCTTGGAGACTTCCAATCTACTGGCCACTCTAGGAATACCACAAACAGCCACTTGCTTTATTGCTAATTTCAAAATGCAGTAACATGGCCTTCATCTTCTTAGATCCATAGTTCCCAAGACAGTTTCCCTCCCTCATGCAAAGTGGGGCTAATTAACCCATGCAAAGAGGAGAATGGAGTCACTTTCCCCTTATGTTTGCCTTCTGGAAGTAATTCAGCTATGTAGAAATAGCTACATAAAATGTAGAATTTTTTTTTTAAAGCAAGTATCATTATCATCATGTTGGCATTATGTAATTAAAATGAACTCTGGGTCATCCCAATAATAAACAGTGGGTCTGAAAGGGAAGTCATTTATGCTGTTACCAATCAGGCAAACTAATGGGCCCTCTGGAAGATGAGCTCAGCAGAAAGACCAAGGAGAGGAACAAAAGGAGACTGTACTTCTCATCCTTAGTCATGCCTGTCAAGGTAGGAGTTTGAGGGAAGACTTTCACTGTTGTTAAACTTGTTTCCAGAATAACACTTCAATCTTAATTACTCATTTGATCATTTGAACCAATGAAAGTACTGCCAAGGAAAAACGCAATGTATGCTAACGTTCATATCTTATCACTGAGTCTGACCTTAGCACAGGTTGTATATTCTATTTTACAACGCACTGAATTCACTCTTTCTTTTCAAGTCAGTATACACTAAGGCTGTCAATGTTTCTTCACCTAGCACCTTTTATCAGCACTAGAATATTACGTAGAGACAAGACAGCTAAAAATTTCTAGGTTCAGATCTGGGAGGGACCAAAACAATTTTTTTTTCAGGGTATGTTTTTACATCTGATTGTGTTCGCTTAGTTCCTCTGATAACAATATATCCAGTGGAACCCACAGAGAATAGGTAATTTGAGGAATGACTGTCAAAAGTTTCATAGAAATCCTACTTAGAGTGATTATCTAAAGTCCTACTAGAAAAGAAATCCACACGGGAACATTAGAATTGTCACATGGATTAAGGTGCTCCCAAACGGGTCTATTACAGACAATATAAAGAGCCAAAATTTGGGATCATAACTACTGAACCTCCTTCCCAAACAAGTATCTCATCTCTTGGGACCCTATGGTGAATTAGCTGGGGACCCAACAGCTATCATCTCAAAAAGCTGCTACCATCTCTCAAAAAGCATCTGTCTGCATCTTACAGGATGCACTAGATGACTTGGTGGGACCAAAACTGGCAGTTTAACTGCCTTAAATACTTCCTCAGCAGGATGCCATTCAATCAGACCCTAGATGTGAAACTTCTGGTCCTCAGGGAAGTTACAGCACTCAGCAAAGAAATGATGTATATATATGTGGCTGGTGTTACAGATTTGTGGTCTTCTTAGAGGAATAAAAGCAGTGCTAAATGTATGGCTTGAGTCATGAGGGCTGGAAAAATTCCCCCCTACTATCTCTGACAACTATAACAACCCTTTCTGTGAAAGACAGCTGACATGCAGTAATTTAGAAGCCTAGAGAACAATCCCAGGACGGCAAACTGTGTGACCTATCTAGGCTTCAGAATCTCACTGCTGTAAAAAGAGTTGACATTTAATAATTTATATGGTATCATCCCCTTTAGTATGATATGATTTCAATGCAACTCCCCACAGCAATCAAAGATCTAGTCAAACAGCATAACAAATAGTATAAGATAGAGGATAAGGCGACAGACTCTAGAGTTAGGTTACCTGGCTTCAAATCTATGCCCCACCATTCATAATGTGACCCTGGACAAGTCATTCAATCTTTGTAAAGGGGTGCCAGTTTCCTTATATATACCTCATAGGGTGCTGTGAGGATTAAATGAGTTAACACATACAAGCAGCCTATAGTAGTGCCTGGCACACAGTGAGTTCTCAAAGTTTTAATGATTATTACAATTATTATCAATAGTAGCACCAGTATCACTACTCCTTTACTTCAAAGCTGATAGGAAACTCCTCTCTACTGGCCCACACTTTCTTCAAAGAGAAATGCATCTGAACTCCAAAAGGCATGGCTTCTATTACTGTCCCTAAACAGTCTGCATGGGAGTTCTTTATACTATTCTAATTATAAGACTAAAAAATTTTACAATAAAAGGTTAAAAACTCATCCTAAAATAATTCGTCCAACAAATACTGAGTACTTAATATGTGTGGTATAGGGGGAACAAAGTAGAACACGAGAGCCACAGTCCAGTTATCATGAAGCTGGCAGTAATGAGCTTTACCTTGTGGAGTCCTCGGCCATTTTTCCCTTGTCACTTATTTCTCAATCAAATCATCACTATTGATTTTCAAGATCACCTAAACCTTCTCCAATAAGTCAACTCTACATTTCTGCCCCACCTCTCTTCATCATTTAAAATTCAACACACCAATTACTACTTTTTCCCCAAACAATTTTCTTCTTGAAACCTCCTCATGACCAGGGAGTTAGCTCTATCAATTCCTCACTCACTGATACTAACTTTACAAATGTCCCACTGCTCTACAACGGCTCTCAAACCACTCCCCACCCCCACAGTATTTACCCACCTCCCAGTTTCACCCATGGTCACATTCTGAATTTGCCTTCGTTCTACATTTTCCCCCTTTCTGGTTCTTCCTGAATTCTCTTGAAAGCCCTTCTATTTTTTTCTTTTTTTTTTTTGAGACAGAGTCTTGCTCTGTTGCCCAGGCTGGAGTGCAGTGTAACAATCTCGGCTCTCCGCAACCTCCACCTCCCGGGTTCAAGCAATTCTCCTGCCTCAGCCTCCCGAGTAGCTGGGATTACAGGTGCTTGCCACCATGCTCGGCTAATTTTTTGTAAATTTTTTTTTTTTTTAGTAGAGACGGGGTTTCAACATGTCAGCCAGGCTGGTCTTGAACTCCTGACCTCAAGTGATCTACCTGCCTTGGCTTCCCAAAGTGCTGGGATTACAAGCGTGAGTCATCACGTCCAGCCAGGCTTCTCCACTTTTGTCACTTAAATCACTTTTATTCCAGATTTTACCTCTGTTCTGAAGCATTTTCTGGAAGCATGTTCTCCTGTCGGGGGCTCTCTCTGCCCTGTATCTACTGCTATCCCTACCCCACACTATTCTCTTTGGCCTCAGTTGCTACAATACCTCGTTATTCATCCTATGATCTATCCAAATTAGATCCTTTACACTTTTACATACAGCTCTGAAATGTCTCCTCTCCATTCCTTTTGAAAACTCATCTCCTCTGCCTAGAATATCCTCTTCCCTTTTATTCCCTACACATGGAACATCTCCTGATCCTAAGGTCTAGGAAAAATCCACTTTCTCCAAAATCTTCCCTAATACTAAATTTAGAAATTCCTTTCCTCTTGTGAATTTCCATAGAACATTGTTTTTATTTATCTTATAGCACTTTTATTCTTTTTTTTTTTTTTTTTTTTTGGGACGGAGTTTCACTCTTGTTGCCCAGGCTGGAGTGCAATGGCACCATCTCGGCTCACTGCAACCTCTGCCTCCAAGGTTCAAGCGATTCTCCTGCCTCAGCCTCCCAAGTACCTGGGATTACAGGCATGCACTACCACGCCCAGCTAATTTTGTATTTTTAGTAGAGATGGGGTTTCTCCATGTTGGTCAGGCTGGTCTCAAACTCCTGACCTCAGGTGATCCGCCCACCTTAGCCTCCCAAAGTGCTGGGATTACAGGTGTGAGCCATCATGCTCGGCCTAGCACTTTTATTCTTTTAGTCTCGTTTTTTCATTTTAGAGTGGTTATGAGTAGTCTTAAAAATCCTCCAGGCTGGGCATGGTGGCTCATGTCTGTAATCCCAGCACTTTGGGAGGCTAAGGCGGGAAGATCACTTGAGCTCAGGAGTTTGAGACCAGTGGGACCTCATCTCTACTAAAATTTGAAAACAAATTAGCTGGGCATACTAGTGCACACCTATATCCAGCTACTGGAGGCAGGGAGGGGGCTTGAGGCAGGAGGATTTCTTGAGCCCAGGAGGTTGAGGCTGCAGTGAGCCCTGGTGGCACCACTGCACTCCAACCTGGGCAACAGAGTGAGACCCTGTCTCCAAAAAAAATGCTCCAAAGAAACCAACATAATTGCATATAGTAACTTCAATAAATATGAATAAGATCAAATGTCTGTCCTTTTCTTTGTCCAGAATGCCTAAGGATCAGGAATTTTCCAGATGGGATCTTCCTTGTAGACAGAGCTTGAAAGGATTTCTCTAATTAACAGTGTACTCACAACGAGCAGGTATCAAATGCCCACCACTGGGGTTGCAGATTCCCATGCATGGTATTTTTCTACAGCAGTTTCTACGGCACCCTTTACTTTTTGCTATTCATATTTTTCTGTATGAAATTATTTTGGAACTTTCCCAAGTCTAATTCCAGCACAAACAAGTATATAAGGCTCTACTGTACTATTTCATCCAATTGTTATGAGTATTTTGTGTGTTTTCAAGTTCCTCTCTTTAGTGTCCTTGACCTTTATAAATATGGCATATTGTGATACTTTAAGCTAGAAGAAAAATGTGACAGTAGTAAATTAACAACTTTCTATCTGCTTATCGAGTCACATATCACAGGCCGAACATTGCCTTCAGTGCTTTACATATGTTAGCCTAAGTAACTGTCACCACAACAACTTGGTAAGATGAATACTATCATTCTCGTTTTATGGATTTTTTTTTTTAAGCTGGGCTTAAAGTTGCTGAATATCTCACATTGGGATAAGTGACAGAGTTGAGATTCAAGCCTGGCTGGAAAGCCTAACAGGGCATGGTGGCTCAAACCTGTAATCCCAGCACTTTGGGAAGCCAAGGCAGGAGGATCACTTGAGCTCAAGAGTTCGGAACCAGCCTGAGCAACATGGCAAAACCCCGTCTCTACAAAAAATACAAATAAAAAATTAGTCAGGATGTCATAGTGCACGCCTGTAGTCCCAGCTACTTGGGAGGCTGAGGCGGGAGGACTGCTTGAGACCAGGAGGTCAAGGCTGCAGTGAGCCATGATTGTGCTACAGAACTCCAGCCTGGAGACAGAGAAAGACCCAGTCTCCAAAAAAAAAAAAAAAAAAAAAAAAAGCAAAAGCCTGTGTCTAACTCTGAAGCTCAATGCTCTTAACCTCTACAGTGAATCATGAAAAAGAATAAAGTCATAAGGATAGTGAAGTATTTGGGGAAAAAAAGATTTACGAAAACAGGTAAAACAAAGTATGAGAAACACTATCCAATCTTACTGTGAGGAATCTCAAAGCAAAGCTAAAATTAGAAAGATAAACTCTTATGGCTCTTTTTTTAATCTTTTGAAATATAAATAAAGCATGACAAAGAAAAGTGGAATGCAATGTCAATTCTCTAGTGCAGAAATATCACTTGCTTACGAAGGATCCTGGTCTGGTTGCTTAATACTATAGCATTTTGGCTCACATTACCTACAAAAGGGGAAAAAGACTTGAAAATATCTGTCTCAAGGGACTGTTAGAAAGTTGATTAACATACATATTTTAAAATCCTCTGCTTTTTCGGAGCATAAAGATTTTTAATTACAATAGCAACTAAATTTTAGCCCTAACATTGAATATCAGTTGTGAAAAAGTCGTTTCCCAAAAATGGAGAACTGGTTTCTTCATATTTAAAAATGCTCTGCTGGGGACAAAGTCAATTCTCACTGCAATTGTATACTTCAACAGCTATCCCTTGCTGAAAAGGCTTAGGAACTGCTCACTGGATCCATGTTCTACATCCCAATAACTAAAGCTCAACTCAGTCTATTACCTTACCTTTAAACGAGGGCCCATGTTCTGAGAACCAAGTAGAGCACTCCTATTCACCAAGGCAGGTCACTTTTGGCCCCTTTCACCTTGTCTTCCAACTTCCACATGAAAGAAAAACGCCGCAAGGTCAACAGAAAGGGTCTATCCATCAGACTTTGTCACAGTAACCAGGTCAGTGTTTCTGGGATGAACTGGATGAATTCCAGGGTAGAGAAATACAGCCCAAGAATATATCATTCCTGGACTTCTCTCTAGTGCAGGGTACAATCGGCTGCCAAAGGATGCCCCAGGATCCTGTCCAAAAAAGAAAATAGGGTTAGTTGGAACAGGTTTTTATTTGCGAAAAAGATTCCCCAGAAAAAAAACAAAGAGAAGGTACAACAGGCAGTGGAAATCGAGACACTAAAAATAACCAAGAATTAGTAAACTCTGACCAAGCATTCTCAATTAAAACTCCACACAGTTTCCTTGAGGCCTCTGACTCCACAAGAAAAGTCAACTGGCAACCTCACTGTCTATAACTATTTCTTCAGCTGAGAAGTGCCAGAGCTTCTTTCAGTTCAGTGTCCCCAAATACTTCCCTATCCTTATGACTTTATTCTTTTCCATGATTCAGCATAGAGGTTAAGAGCACTGAGCTTCAGAATTAGACACAGGTTTTGGTTTTTTTGACAGGGTCTTTCTCCGTCACCCAGGTTGGAGTGCAGTGGCATGATTACAGCTCACTACAGCCTTGACCTCCTGGGCTCAAGTGATCCTCCCGCCTCAGCCTCCCAAGTAGCTGGGACTACAGGCATGCACTACCACACCTGGCTAATTTTTTATTTGTATTTTTTGTAGAGACGGGGTTTTGCCATGTTGCTCAGGCTGGTCTCTAACTCCTGAGCTCAAGAGATCCTCCTGCCTTGGCCTCCCAAAGTGCTGGGATTACAGGTGTAAGTCCATTCTTCAGTAGAAGCAAACTAGGCCACAGACTTAAAGAGTAACCTTCAGCACAACCACATACCCAGTTTGAATATAATGGGGCTGCAGCACAGGGTCTGGAGCAACCACAAAGACAAGTGAGATGAAAGCACAGACAGAACTGGGTTACGGAGGGCCTTATATGCCATGATAAGGAATTGAGACAATATTCAGCTGGAAAGGAGAAACCTCCAAAGAGCTTTAAAGCCCAATCTATCAGCCTATGCAGTCTGCTCCCTTCGTGCCCACATATGCATTTCCAAGACATGCTTAAATAAAGTTGATTTTATATTTAAAACAGTAAAACCTGCTACTACGAGTCAGGGGAAAATCTGTGAACTTTCAAAATAAAGTCACTAAATAAAGTGCAGTGAAGTCAGTTTATAACTCTCAAAGATATTCATGAACCAAAAATGTAGCAGAAAGGGGGTTTATGGCAATGCATACACAAACAGCCATCATAAGACAAATGAGAAGAGACTACTAATTAGTAAATGTAGAGACAGTCTTACCATATGGCAGGAACTGTTCTCAGTACTTCATACATACAAACTCACAGATACAATTATCCCTATTTTAACACAGATACAATTATCCCTATTTTACAGATGAGGAAACTGGGACACAAAAAGGTTAAAGTCCTTTTCCAGGAAAACACACAGTGAGTAGTAGAGCTGAGTCAAACTCAGACAACCCGGACCCAGGATCCATGCTTTTAATGACTACCTTACTGCCTCTCTACTATGGGAAACTAAGGAAGAAAGCACAAAATGCTAAAAGAACAGAATGAGTGAAGACTAGCAAATGAAATTAAGTTGGCAAACTTTTATCATTAAAAATAAATAAGTATATGTATCTAGTTTAAAATACGGCAACATGGCCGGGCACGGTAGTTCACGCCTGTAATCCCAGCACTTTGGGAGGCCAAGGCAGGCGGATCACTTGAGCCCAAGAGTTCAAGACCAGCCTGGGCAACATAACAAAACCCCATCTCTACAAAAAATACAAAAATTAGCCAGGCATGGTGGCAGGCACCTGTGGTCCCAGCTACTTGCAGGCTGAGGTCGGGGTTGGCTTGAGCCCAGGAGGCAGAGGTTGTAGTGAGCCGAGATCATGCCACTGCACTCCAGCCTGGGCAACAGAGCCAGACCCAGTCTCAAAATAAATAAATAAATAAATAAATAAATAAATAAATAAATAACGCCAACAGACTTGCCAAGTACAAGAGCCAAAACCTGGGTCAACTGGCAACTGGAACCAGCTTAAAGGATCCACAAACAATAGACTATATACATAAGCTGTAAGAGATCCCTATGTAGAATACTATATGAGGAATTTTTAAATGACACTTTTAGGGAATAAACAACATAGGGAAATGCTCACAAACAAAATGTTAAATAAAAAAGCAGGCACAAAACTGTTTATGTAGCACAAGCCCACATTTAGAAATATAACATTACATAAAGAAGACTGAAAGGAAAAATAGAAAAATATTAATAGTGATCATTTCTTGGTATATGGAATTATAAATAATTTTTATTTTCTACCTGTATTGTACCTTTCAGTGTTTTTCAAATTCTTAATGTTGCAAGGACATGTAAAAAGTTTCTATTTCTGGAGAACACATTTTTGAGGGGGACTGATTTTCTTTAAATAAGCAAGAGAATGGGCAAGTTATCCTTTTTGAAATAAGAAAATGGTACAAAGAAATTAAGATAACAGATTGTCCATCCTGGCTAACACAGTGAAACCCTGTCTCTACTAAAAAATACAAAAAAAAAACTAGCCGGGCGAGGTGGCGGGCGCCTGTAGTCCCAGCTACTCGGGAGGCTGAGGCAGGAGAATGGCGTAAACCCGGGAGGCGGAGCTTGCAGTGAGCTGAGATCCGGTCACTGCACTCCAGCCTGGGCGACAGAGCAAGACTCCGTCTCAAAAAAAAAAAAAAAAAAAAGATAACAGATTGTACTGAACTTTTCTTTGTTTTTTTTTTTTGAGATAGAGTCTCGTTCTGTTGCCCAGGCTGCAGTGCAGTGGCATGATCTTGGCTCACCGCCTCACTACAACCTCCACCTCCTGGGTTCAAGCTATTCTCCTGCCTCAGCCTCCCTAGTAGCTGGGACTACAGGTGCGCACTACTATGTCCGGCTAGTTTTGTATTTTTGGTAGAGACAGGGTTTCACCATGTTGGCCAGGCTGGTCTTGAACTCCTGACCACAGGTGATTTGCCCACCTCAGCTTCCCAAAGTGCTAGGATTACAGGCATGAGCCACCACACCCGGCCTGAACTTTTATTTCTATTCACTATGATCTTAGTAGGTTTCCAACCCTGTAATCAGCTATTTGATTATTAAATCAAATAACTCCTAGTTCTAATGTAAGCTTTACTGTCCCTACCATGAGCTACCATGCTCACCCCAATGATTCAGCATCTCTACTGAGCTTCAAAACTCAACTCAAGCACTCCCCCTTCTCTGGTCCTGCTCCAAGGCCTCTCTGAGGACTCTACCCACACCAGATAGAATCAACCACTTCCTCCTTTGTGGTACTTCTCTGCTGAAGATACTTCTGTAATAGCATTTATTAGTCTGTATTGAAATTATTTGTTTATATAGCAGTCCTCCTAATAGATTGTGGACTCCCCAAGGAACACTGACCAGGTCATATCATTGCCTCCCCATGGCTAGTATGGTGTTCAGCCCTGCTATTTCAGAGTCTACTTTCACAAGATCCCCAGGTGAGTCCTATGCATGCTGAAGTTTGAGAAACATGGTTTAGACTCTAAGCAGTCAGTATGAGAAGGGGCTCAACATTCTGTATCTCTAACAGGTTCACAGGTAATGCTGATGCTGCTGGTCTCCTAGACCACACTTTCACACACGCCCCTGTTGTCCTAGCTACTCGGAAGCTAAGGCAGAAGGATCTCCTAAGCCCAGAAGTTTGAGGCTGCCACGAGCTGTGATCACACACACACAGAGAGAGAGAAAGCGAGCCATGAAAAACATGATATAAAATTCCATTTCAAAATTTTGGTGCATACAGAGCTAGTGGCAGCACACAGAAGTTCTGATATCACCCACTGATGTCCACCAAATGACAAGACAAAAGAAAGATGTTTGCTTTGTAAGATGCAATCTCCAGCATTCTCCACAGAGAAGCACCAGCTATGAGTCCGGGGACATGAACTTAAAAAAACAAATCATCCAATTATCAAAAAGCGCATAGGTTAGGGTGGTCTAACTAAGCAGGTTCCAAGAATATATCAGACACTTTGGATTATTAGTTTACATTTACTATGGCTTAATTCCACTCTTGGTTTATACTCCCCAACCCTAAATCCCACCATAAAAGATTACCCTCCTCCATCAAGTTTATACTCTTGAGATATTTATACAGTTGTCTATTTCTGCTATTGTGGTTTAGACAAGTTATACGGTTTTCATTTATACTTTCTTCATCCGTCAGCCCCTCTAGTCTCTTAATCATCCTGTGGGTCTTCTGTGAACTCTCTCCAGCTGGTCCCCAACAATCCAGTAATGAGGTGCCTCCAAATGACTGCGGCCTTCCAGGGACAGCCTCATTAGTCAGAACAGGATGAACTCACTCTCCTCAGTTCTATGACATAATACTCCTGAGTAGGCAATCCCCCAAATCACAGAAATCTAATGTGCCACCATATTAGACTGTACCCCATTCTATAACTCCCAGATGTGGACATCGGGGCATGCTAGAATGTGCTAGAAGCCAGAGGATAAATGACACATGTTCCCACGGCATCTATTTCACTAAAGGATGAGTGACTGGGGAGAGAAAAAAAAGTTCACGCTAAATCAAACTCATAGATAATAAAATAGAATGCAATATTTGCATGAATTTCTAAAGATAAAACATGGGTATGTTGAATATATTAATGGATATTCTGAACTTGAAGCAGAAAGGCTGCTTGGGGCTCGTCTCCTAGCACCAAGGAGTTAACATGTCCTTTACCACTAGAGGTAATTGAGCCAAAACCCTCACTCAACTTCTGATCTACTGTGCATTACCACTCATCCCATATACTTACATTTTAAATGATATTTTTCTGCTATGTTTCCCCATCCTGGATATCTATATTTTCTCTTTGCCTAAAATCATTTGCTGCAGGAACACATGTCATTTATCGTCTGGCTTCTAGAACATTCTTGCATGCCCTGATGCCCAAATCTGGGAGGCATGAAATGGGGTTACAGTCTAATTGACACTATAATTCACAGACTACCAACATCTATAGGTTCCTCTGCATCGTTCATTCTTCATTCATTTCACAATTCTTGAGCATTTGCTATATGTTGGGC